GTTATCTGCAGAAACTTTGAATGAAGGAATATCTTCAATTGGTCCACTATTGGAACAGACCAATTTTTTAGTGAACATTTTTTCCACTGGATAGAGCTCAGCAAAGATTTTTCAGAGGAATAATATTTTTTTGGGAATTTACCAAAATCGTCTTAAAATAGCAGATTCCATTTATGCTTAACAAAAAATGTCTTTTTGGAATTAGTTTGTCTCTTTGGCAAGATAGGGGCCTTTTGCACACAGGAGAAGTGACCATATCACCATCAGCAAACAGTGTGTGAAACTAACATTAAATGAACTTTAACACTGCCTCTGGGTTCTCTTTATTTTCTTCTATGTCTGCCTTATCTGGGGTAGGCATATTAAGAGATGGTAGAGCTGGAGGAGGAGCCTGGCACTTAGGCGCCCTGGATAGTAATATCTGTAATAAAGTCGTTAACTGTCCATGAAATTGTGAATTAGTTGAACAATAGTCTGCTGTAGTCAGGTATTCTGCTTGTTGTGTGCCTAAGATAGAGCTAGAACTGGATGCTGAGACCTATGTTATTGTCGGGTCCTGCTCTGGTCCACAGAAAACCTCATCACTATGAGACTGAGTGCTGTTCAGGGCTTCAGCAGAGCAAATGCTTGCCTGAGCTTTTGTGGTTTCCTCCTTTTTCCTTATTTCTACAGGTTACTTGCACAGGACATAGAAACAAGGCTAAACAACTCAACAAGGTATGAAAAAATATTAACTGGGGGTGCAGAAAAATGTCAGCAGGTGCTCTGGACTGATGAGTCAAAATTTGAAAATATTTGGCTGTAGCAAAAGGCAGTTTGTTTGTGAAGGCTGGAGAGCAGTATAATAATGAGTGTCTGTAGGCAACAGTGGAGCATGGTAGAGGTTCCTTGCAAGTTTGGAGCTTCATTTCTGGAAATGGAGTTGGAGATTTGGTCAGGATTATTGGGGTCCTCAATGCTGAGAGATACAGGCAGATACTTATCCATCATGTCATACCATGAGGGAGGTGTTTGATTGGCCCCAAATTTATTCTGCAGCAGCACAACGATCCCAAACATATAGCCAATGTCATTAAGAACTATCTTCAGTGTAAAGAAGAACAAGGAGTCCTGGAAGTGACGGTTTGGCTCCCACAGAGCCCTGATCTCATCATCATCAAATCTGTCTGGGATTACATGGAGACAGAAGAAGGATATGAGACAGCCTACATCCACAGAAGATCTGTGGTTACTTTTCCAAGATGTTTGGAACAACCTATCTGCCAAGTTCCGTCAAAACCTGTGTGCAAGTGTACCTAAAAATCTAAAAAAATTGTACCTAGTGTACCTAGAAAAATTTATGAAGATTGATGATTGTTTTGAAAGCAAAAGATAGTCACACCAAATATTGATTTGATTTGGATCTCTCTTCTGTTCAATCACTTTCTATTTTGTTATTAATAAAAATAAACTATTAACGCTTTAATTTCTGAATGTACTCTTATTTCCAGCATTATTCCACACTTGCGTAAGACTTTTGCACAGTACTGTATAATACATCTGCAGACCAATGATATTATTAAGATTTCTATTCTGAAATCTCTGCTGTTAACCTCTTTTCTTTATCACAGTTCTGTTGATTTCAGGCACATTGGGTATAGTCAAAAAGTACTACAAGAATGTAGATATGTTGCACATAACAAATGTAAAAACAGCTTTCACCCTGTCATCGTGATGTGTACTCTGTTTCACACTTTTAGCTTAACTTGAGTCTAAACATGCATCTTAGTATAAATAATGCATATGGTACCAAAGCTGTTAAACACTGAGGAGGACATTATATGGCTTAATCAAGCAAAATGAGACATCTTACAATTATTCATTCTCAAGAGGCTTGGTTGTATGCAGCTGAATTCTTGCTGCATAACAAAGGTCATTTAAGACTAATTTCACATTAACACAATAATATTAAAGACAAAGGTACAACACACATTTATTTTAATAATTACCCTACCGACTGGCTTAAAGTCATAATAGGGTCTGCAAATTTAGGTGAATAAAATGTTTGTTTGGATGCTCTGTGTTACAATTCATACAGTAAATATCTCAAAAACGATAAAAAAAAAATCAATACAAATTATCACAAGATGCTAATGCCAACTAAGTGCAGTGTGAGATTTGCTCATCATCTATTCATAATGCTATTAACTCATTTTGTTACACATTTTTAAAATATTTTTCATTTAAACATTACTTGTACTTACATCTAACAAATATGGTAGTGCAAGCTTGACAATTCTTAGAGCTGGAGCACACCAGCGGCTGCATTGCAGCGCAACAGCTAGTGTACAGCGCAAATTGGCTGAGATCAGTGCAGTGAGGATGCGCTGACCTTGGCGGATCACAGTTTCCTTATTTTTTTTAAATAAAATTTATTGAGATGTCACACAGGCATCAAATAAACTTAAAGGCAGCCTTACACTGCGCTGCACTGAGAAAAAAATACTGCATGTGGTGCTTTCTCATTGTAACGCAGTGTGAATTGGACACATAGGAGACAAGGAATTTTGCTTTGTCCATGGAGTGGGACTGTGCTGGAATAGTCACCCAATGCAGTCCCATCACATCTGGTGTGAATTTACCCTTACAGTGACCTAGAAAAAACAGTCATTTAAGGTGTTGGGACACCTAACATGCATATTTAATCACTCTGTGTAAGTCCGAGAGCCCTTCACGCCACAACAGCATTAGCAGTTACCATATTTTGATGCTGTGTGACAGTGCAAGTCCCTGACACTGTGAATTTAGGTTACGAAGATAGAAATTACACAGGACTCTCCAAGAGTCAGTATGAGAATCTCTGGCATGTTTATGGTAAACGGAGACAGCTGTGCTCTATGTTTTTCGCTGCATTTGGTAGTTCTAGATTGGGACTGGGAGCTTGACAGTTCCAAAGAATCTTGGTAGGAACGGAACCTTCAGTCCGGTGTCCAGGCTTTGCTAGTTGCTTGCAGCTTGTGTGAGGGCACAGGTGTGCAGGATCAAAATATACCAGATATGAGCATAGCTCAGGGCAGTTGTTGCCATTCGGAGAGAGAGCCAGAGAGTGAAGATTGCAGTGTGCTCCAGCCAGGAGGGGAGAGAAGACCATACGCTGGGTAGACTTCTCACCCAAAGGACTGGGAAAGTCAGGACAGCTATGTGGGTCCGGAGAGATCAAGAAAGAGACTAGCAGAGTTCTGTGTTCCCGAGAAGTGAGAGCCTCGGGTGCTGGAAAAACTTTATCCAGTGGGGCCTGAGCACTTAGATACTGCAAGTGCAGACTGAGCGTGTCTGAGAAGCCCAAGGTCAGGAAGACTGGAGCAAGCAGCGGTGCTGCTGACTGAATAGTCAGGTGGTTCAGCATTTTTTTGTCATTTGTGTTTAGATGGAGAAGAACCCGAGCAGGCAATCTGTTTTTGTTAAATTGAAACTTTATCTCTTTTTAATAAAAGTGAGCTACTAGGTCTTTAAAAATAGTTCACACTTACGCAAACTCAAATGAATCTACCACAAGATTTAACATCCCCCTGATCACATCTGTGACAGTTGAACCCGGAAGTGAAGTGAGGTCTTCATTTCTTCTGGGTTTTTACTTGGTACAGGAGATCAGCAAACACGTGTTTGTTCGTCTACCTTCCCTTTACTTGGCGGCAGCTGTTATGTAGGTCTTGGGTACACACATACGAGCATGGAGTGCATGGGCTTGTCAGATCTAAAATTACTATGTGTAAAACCTTCTGCTGCTGCTGCCAACATATGAGCATGATATACATCAGTGGCAGCGAAAAGGTTGAAGTGTGTATCTTGGCAAAACTTTTTTTTTTTTTTAAGGTAAACCCTCTGTCAAGTTTTTACTGCTGTATCTGTCCCCATTGGGGACATTCAAACCCCATTGGTACTGGTGACTATTGTAACTGGAAAAGAAAATGAGGGAAAATCCAAAACGATTAGAATAGTACTCAGAACAAGAGGTAAAGGAAAAAATTCTAGCAGGGACTCCTGTCCTGCTGACGAATGTGTAAGACAGAAATTCCCCTCACTATAGAACATTTCCATTTACTTCCTGTTGAGTTCTGGAACAAAAAGTAAAGTGAAATGCCCCCCATGGCACATAGATGACAGGACCTTAAACCATTCTTTAACCTATTCAAAACTATAAAAAGTTTTGGTTAAACAAATACATACACTTTAAGTACAACATTTTTATGTAGTGTTCCTCTAGCCAAGGAGTTTTTCACTTCTTATTCTAATGACTTTGCTGACAAGTAGCAAACCTGTATTAGTTGATGTGACTGTCTTAGAGAAAACTAATCACAGATACAGCAAATAAGATGTAAACACAGCCAAGTTCTACAGCCTTCCACAAAAGGCAGAAGCTTGGTTTTAAAGAAATGTCTTTTATAATTTAAGGCATAACCTGCTGTTGGCATTATTCTGATCTGACAAGGAAAAGTTTCAGGAGCTCTTTAATAATCTATGAGACTCACTTTTGTTGTGCGTGTTCTTTCCTGTATTCTAAAACAGAACTAGAAGAAATGTATACCACTGGTTTTAAACAAATAAAAATACAAGAACAATTTGTAAATGCAATACGGACTTTTCTCTGCAATAATGTAATACCTACTTACAACAATTATTTACGATTAAAAAAGTGCACCTTAGAAACTTAGTAAAGGAGAGAAAACAGGAATCCAAATTGCTCAACAACCCATTAAAATTGGAACATTATTAAACTATAAAAACCAATGTTTGCCTTGCAAAATATTTACATATAGTTGTTCTGCATTTCATATAGTGCACACACTTTGGTGTCCTTTTTTTTCATCTGTAGAATATCTTTCACTGATTAGAATATCATGAAGACCTCAACGACAAAAACCAAAGCTTGACACCAGTAAGGTAGAAAAGGTCTCAGTTTCCAGGCATTTGTAAATTATATATATATATTAAGTAGTTGGAAAATGAAGCAGGATACTCACAAACAGAAGTAGCAGCAGAGGAGTCACTACAATACCCTGGAAATAAAATATGAAAGTTTTAATAATCATGATCAATTTCATAACAATATGTTAAACATCACACAGACATAATTGACAAGAATATTTTATGTAATAGCATTTTTACTAATATGGATGTCTCTTAATATGGCATGTGTACCCTGTGCAGCTTGTTATTTTATAGGACAATGAGCAGTGAGTACCAATATAGAAAACAAGACTATACAGCTCTGTTGGCTTTTCTACGAGAAGTGTTCAAGTCAAACCAGGACTTCTGAGTTTACATAATTAATGAACAAATTTCAGGGAGTGGAAACTGCATTTATTTTTCGACATACTGCCCTGCTACATTTGTACACTTATCCCAGCGTTTAAGGAATGCCTGGAAATCTTTTGGCATAGAGAGATTTGTCAGTATGCCTGAACCATCCTAGGACAGTCTGCTTCGTCATCAGTGCTGAAATGCCAACCTCTGAAGAACTTATTTAGGGGTCCACACAGGTGGATATCATGTCTGAGGTCCGGGCTATAAGGAGGATGTGGCAATACCTCGCAGCCGAGTTGCTCTAATGTGCACGTGCAGTGAGCAGTTAGAGCTTGTGCGTTGTCCTGGAGAAACAGGACGCACTTAGTGACCAAACCAGGTCGTTTTTTCCACAGAGGCGTATGCACATCACTCAGAACATGACAGTATTATTCACCATTGATAGTGGCACCATGGGCTAGAAAATTCACAAGAATAACGCCACATTTGTCCCAGAAAACATTTGGCATCACCTTACCTGCAGACACAATTGTTTGAAATTTTTTCTGGTCTCATCACCATACTGTGCTTGAATTCGTCTATAGGGTTTTAAGCCTTTGTTCACAAGAAACTTCATGACCACACGCTGTTCCATGCAGGCACTGACACTGTTGTCTGCCATCTTGATTAACGATCTCTGGACTGGCCCACGACATGTGCACCACCTATCAGCAATAGGACACACTTGCCACATACAACTGCTTTTAGTACCACCACTCTAGCATGCCTTGTTATACCTGTAAAATGAAAAGTCCCAGTTTGACTTGAACGCCCCTCGTACATAGTTTATAATACTATAATGAAGTGCTCTGAATAACGGAATAAACTGGTTTCATGAAAACTTAAGTCCCTTTTCTGAAAGGCTTGCATTGTCTTTCTGCAGCCCATGGCTTCTCTCCCCTGTTATAATGTATCAGCTTCTAGTACAGCAAAGCTAGGAGGATATGATCTCATACACAGGAGGGGAATGTTGTGTAAACAGAGTGAAAAAGGTAATGTTCACTCTTAATTTCCTGTGCCCATTTTTTTTTTGGGTTCAAAACCAAATGCATAACATAAGCTCAATTTCCAAATGCATTACTGCAAATGCCCAGCAACGTGTGTACTGTAGTACAGTGCGGTGCTATTGCTGCCCATAGATGGATCAAAATCAATCCCCGGCTGTTGATCAGTGTATTGTGAATGGAATTAATTGGATTCCTCCATTCAACTTTCATGTGTGGATGGGGGAATCAGTTTGTTTTCTTTAGATCAGCCCTCTGTCTATGGACAGTCTTAGTGTTGTGCATGTTAAACATGTAATAACACAGACATGTGAACCAACTAGAAAAAAACAACAACAAATGGCTCCATATAGAGTAAGCAACCCAGGTAGCCCTTAGGAGCCATGGTAACCTATGACCGCAAAAGGTTACAGTTGAGGGTAATTACTCCTACATACAACTTGCCATGAGGAGGTCATTTGCTCCATGTTTAATCAAAGTGTAAGCAATTGCTACTCTTTGAGATAAATTTCTAGCGATTTCAGTAGTTTAAGTTCACCTTTGGAAACATATTCTACATATTTTTTAGGATGTAACATGTAACATGTTACTGGTCCTGCAGCCGCCACCTGCTGCCCCCATCTCCCTATGACAGAAGTATGGGGGGAAGTTCCCCATACTAGCTGTCACTTTTCAAAAACAGCATGGACGTGTGGGGCTCCGCCCACATGGCCACATCATTTCAAATGGTTCATTTTTTGCATCATTAGAGTGCCAGATTTGACACATAATTTTTGTGCCGCAATCGAAAGTCTCTGATCCAACATAATGGATTTTTATTAGAAAATCAAAACTATTGCTGGCACAATCGTATGAGCTATTTTCGTTTTTCACTTGACAGAACTTTCGGATTTTGACTCATCTACAGCTTGCCTTACTAAAGACAAATAGACTGTTCACTTTGCAAGTTTTCCCCAGAGCTTAGTGAATGTGGTGAAGCTTCACTTTGTAAAGAAGCACCAAAGTTGAGAACCCTGTAAGAAGCAGGCTATGTTTTAACACTGCATTTGAAAAACAGAATTCCTCAGTTTTGGGGTTCCTGAGGTGCTAGGGAGATGGTTTGATGACCACATGTGTGCGGTCCATTAGATGCAGGGGCGTATTTACTACTTGGCAAACAAGGGATTCCGAGAGAGGTTGCGGGCTGCTAGGGGGTGTAGGTAGAGGCCGATTCTCGTTCCCTTTTTTAGAATGTGTGTGTGTGTGTGTGCGCATATGAGTGTGTTCGATTTTAGTGTTGCCTACGGCAGCACAAAAGCAACATACACCACTGACCAGGTGCCTGTGCTTTATTTACGAAGCCATTTTAGAACTTTATCTGAGATGACAAATGTTCCTTAAAGGGATAGTTCACCCTCACCAAAGAACTGCCTATGCAGGTAAGGGGCATCTGTGGATTAAAAACACATTGTGTGTCTCTGACTAAAGTTGAATAATGCTCTTGCTATAGGTGCAGGCCATTTACATACCTCATGAAGCCTGACTAGATTACACCCAGGATGTTGCTAGGACGTTGCCAAGTGAGGACTAGTCATTCCTGCTCACCCCCACCATCACAGGATTCAGAGCCCCTCATATGCTCTCTCTCCCCTGACACAGTAGCTCTGAGCTCAACATCTGAGAGCTCACTCCTGTGATGGTGGAGGTGGCAGTAATGACTAGGCCTGGCTTAGCATTGTCCTGGGAGAATTCCAGTCATGCTTCATGAGGTACATAAATGGCGTACACCTATAGCAAGGGCATTATTCAACTTTAGTCAGAGCTGCCCAGTTTGTTTTTATCTACAGACACCCCTTATCTTCATAGGCAGTTTTTTGGTAAAGGTGAACTAACCCTTTAAAGAGCTGATGGCAGTATAGTACTAAAAAGCCTCCATCTGTAAATACAGTGCAGGTTTACTTTAGATTTTTACAAATAATCAGTCTGTGGGAGAGCATACAAGGGGTCTGCTATTACCCTAACTTCCCTGTGTTCAGTACTAAAACCCTCCACCCCCCTATCCATTGAATAACACCCTTTATAGCTACATAGGTACAAAGGAAGGTTTTATGGCTAGTAAAAGCAACATTGTTTTTTTTTTTTTTTTTTTTTTATAGCTAACAGAACTGTTCACTTTAAAAGTTTAAATTAGCTGGCAGATTCGCTTTAAGCAAAAATGTATAGTATATGCACATGTTTGCAAAACCTGCAGGGTGAACCAGTTCATAACAAAAAAGATACAACATGTCAATTTAATGTAGAAATAGTGATACATGAATATTTAAAAAGTATGTAGCGAGTGTTTCATCTGACTGCATTTCTTCTGTACCCAGGAGGCAACAGAGCCACACAGTTCTGTGCACATTCTCTTCCACAGAGGCAACAGAACAACTATTAAACAAAGCTATACACAGCTCAAAGAGTTAAAAGCTTTGTAAGAAGTCTTGTCCAGCTACAGTAAAGGCCCACTGTCTTTGTGAGATATTACTCAGGGGATAACCTAAGCTGTAAGATGGGAAATACACTTTGTAACTTGAAGGACGCTAATGAAACAATGCTGTCTGGTGTTGCACCTAGCCAATGATTTCCCGATCAATTATAGACAAACTGATCAATCACTTAAGTTTTCAACATTCAAATTGGAATGATGCTAACAATATAGACTTAGCCAAGAAAAATTTTGGTCGTGCTGAACAAACCCTTTAAAAGAAATCTATTTCATACAACCATCATTGAAGAATATACTTGAGATTGCCCTGTTCTACTCTTTCCTCCCTTTTCTTCCTCTCCAGTGTGATATTCCTGGGTAATGCATGTACCACACCAGAACTGGTGACTTCTACCGCATCAAATATTACAGACATCTCAAAGTTGGGGATCTTTTACATATTATAGTGTACAGTCAACAATTTTTCTGCAATAGTAGAAAGGGAAGCTGGGCGACTGAACCACATTATTTCATTCCTGCCACAAAACTGCTAATATCTAAATACATTCAATTGCAAGTATACTTTATGTTAATTTCCTCTTGTACGTTTGTGTTTAACCCATTTTTCAAGAAAGTTTTTGCATAAAAAACAGAAATGATACCTGTCCTCAATCACGCTGAATATGGATTTTTGGTCATGGTTAGCTCATATGCAATGAAGCAACAAGGTGTAGCATAAAGCTAAACTTCAAACAGGTATAAGAGACATAAACGCCGATCTGCATTCACTAATAAAATATTGGATGCATTTGTTTTATGCAAAGCAGCAATCCCCCATAACCCAGAACTCAAACTGGAAGCTAGTTAGGTGTGCTGCATGCAAATACGTTGACAAAGAACATGTTGGTAAGAGGAAAGAGCAGAGTGATGTCATCATTAATTTGCTTTCCAGTTACAAAGCTGGGAGTGGAGAGATGACACAACTGTGTTCTTTAAGTGTAAGTTTTGTCATCCAGCTGGTTGTGCCCCAGGGCTACGTAAATCTCAGGACAGAATGAACAGAAATAAAAATTCTTTATATTTCATCTTTGTATTTAGTTGCTTGCCCAGAGTTCAGCCTTAATACAAATAGAATTCTTGAACTAATAAAGATTTTTAATTATAGTCTAGCACAGGGGTCTCCAAACTATATATACAAAGGGTCAGTTTCCTGTCCTTCAGACTTTAGGGGGGCTGGACTGTGGACATTGGGAGTAGAAAATGTCCTGGCATCAGTGAGAGCAAACAATGCCTCATTTTTGGTGTTAATGAGAGGAACTGTGCTCCATT